GCCGCCTGGACAGCTGACAAGCGCTGTGCTCAGGTACGCGGCATTTGAAAATCCTCTTGTTTCTTGCTTTTTCAACCTCAGCTGTGCCGCACAAAGCAGCTGAGGAGGGAAAAGCAGGGAATAAAGGGCAACCTAGAGGTCAGGCAGGCGGGTGGGCCAAACACCGAGCCGGTTCGGTGTCAGCTGCTCTTCACAGCTACAGGTTCTATAAAACCGGGCCGAACTAGTAGCATCCCACCCCTGGTTTTGTTTGTTAAAACTTGGTAGTGCAAATGTAATTAAAATCAGAGTGCTGTTGATTTGTTTGGTTGCTTGCTTTGATAAATCTGCTCAAGTGATTCCTAATAGTGAAAATGAAATTCATACTGAAAATGAAATTTATATATATTTTTTACAAGTTTACAAAGAAAGGCATTTTGATTGGAGATGCTGAACACATATATGTCTGCATATGCGATTGCATTGGGATCAGAGGGAATACAACAGCTTCTCCTTCCCTTTTTATTCTTAAGCCTTGTATTTAGTTTTATGATTCATTCATTGCCTAAAGGACTTGATTTATGGGGCAGGTTTTTCCCCCCTTTGGCTATGCCTGAGATGTTTTGCTTGGAAGTAAAAGCAGGAAATAATTTATTGATTTTTATGCATAAAGCAAGTGCGGTGTGTTTTCCTTAATAGCGGCATATTTCATTTCTTTCAGTCCCTGTGAATAAGAAATGCAGTATCTGGGTGGAAAGTTAAGTGCAATATCTCAGGCAGTAGCATGCTATCTTTATGAAGCTTTGTCTTATTACTGAAAACAATAAAACTGGTAGACCTTATATTAATAGGGAGAGGCCACTGTATATTTATTGCCCTCCTGATTAAGATTTGAGTAAATGATGCACAATCAATTAAAAAGGGCTCCTTATGGAGATGTCTGAGAGGGCTTCTATGATGGAGAAATTGGACATGTGCTTGCCTTGGCTATAGAAAGTTGTTGGTAAGAATTAAATAGCATGTGGTTTTCTTCCTTGTACCTCCTACCCTGCTGGTTCTGCTTTTGTTAGATCCTGAAGTTTTGGAATTGTAAGCTGCTACTCTGAGATAATCACATAAACATCCATCATATTATTTGTTTTTGATCAAATATTCACAATTACACACAATTACCTTTGGTAAGCTAAGTCAAATTTTCTGGAACTTTTGAGTGAAACTGCTAGCTGATTTCATTCTGTGGTTCTAATTTTCTACTGTAATTTTTCATTACTGAGTCCCTTTAAAGTGGATATTTCTAATAGAGATTCCTTGCCAGTCAGCAGAATTTAGACATTCCCAATAAAGATTCCTTCATGAAGGCTGTATATCCAGAATATACAGGTCCACATGGAATCATAGCTACAAAAGGGAAACAAAATGCTGCCATTTTAATGGTCTACAACAGAGATCGCCAAACTTGACAACTTTTAGACTTGTGGACTTCAACTCCCAGAATTCTCCAGCCAGCATACCACTGGTCTACAAGAAAGCTTAATGACACAACTGAATTATTCCCTATGTGTGATGTACCATGTTACAACTTGTTGGTTTCTCTAGGAACAAAATTAACTACATTTTGTCAATAAACTGAAAAAATTGGCAATTCCTCAGTTTAGTTGAGACTAGGTAATATTTTTTTTTTTTAAATCACATTCATTTCAAAAAACAACTGCATCAAAGGTGAAGGCTTCTTTTGGTCCCCAGGTCCATCTCACCTTCTTATTTATTTATTTATTTATTTATATTTATTTTTGTCAATTGCTTACCAAATAATAGGTATAAGTAAAAACATAGTTATGAATACATGGATACATATAAGAAAGAAAAAAAAAGAAACAGTAGGACAGGGATGGTAGGCACATTGGTGCACTTATGCACGCCCCCTACAGATCTCTTAGCAAAGGGGTGAGGTCAATAGTAGACAGTCTAAGGTTAAAGTTTTTGGGGTTTGGGGAAGAAACCAGAGAGTCAGGTAGAGTATTCCAGACATGGACCACTCTGTTACTGCAGTCATATTTCCTGCAATCAAGTTTGGTGTGATTAAGTTTGAGTTTGTATCTATTGTGTGCTCTTGTGTTGTTATGGTTGAAGCTGAAGTATTCATTGACAGGTAGGACATTGCAATGTATGATTTTATATATTATATGTAGATCGGACCAAAGGAGGCGTAGTTCTAGGTTTTCTAGGTCTAGAATTCCGAGTCTGGTGGCATAAGGTATTCTGTAACAAGTAGAGAGCTCTTCTTGTGAAATATTTCTGGACTTTCTCAACTGTGTTAATATCAGATACGTAATGTGGGTTCCAGACTGATGAGCTGTATTCGAGCTGTATTCAACCTCTGTATTCCAGTTTCCAAGATTCTGTATATGCCCCTTCATTAAATATAATTCATTGATATCAGTCCTTGAAACTTCTTACTTCCTACAAAAGAGATATATGGTTTTATATTTTGGATGTAGACCATGGCTATCATAAGGATTCTGGCTGGTAGAACAAGTTGCTATTTATGATTTAAGATGTCAATGCCTCTTGATTCCTAATTGTATCACAATTTCTTACATCATCTAAAGACAATCCTCACTCAATTGTACAAAATCAGCATATTTAGCCAAGCACCAGTCTTATGGAAAACACTACAGCCAATGTATCAAAGGATGGATATTCACACCTGTTATGTGCATATCCAGGAATGAAGACATTTCAATCTATCAAACTATATAACATAAATAAACAGACAGATTGCTTAATATAGTCTAGTAATTTTGGGGGGATTTCACTAGGAGTCCCTAGAATATAAAATACAATCTGCATCTCTGTGAAATATTAAAATACTACCTTCATGAAAGACGAGATTTTAGAATATGAACAGAAGGAGTCTAATCTAATGCATAGAGCAATGATTTTAGAACAATTTTCTATGTTAACAAGATATCTCTTTTGTCTTCTGCAACAGTTTTACTTTTGCATCAATTTTGTAGCCAACTACTGTCTGTAAACTGACAGTTTAATTATGATAGCAAGGACTGTTCCTAGAAATTAAAAGAATGAATTCTGTTTATAGTTTATAATGGAGCACAGCGGGGTCCAATTTTTGCACTCTTTTCCAAAAATATACATAATAGAAAAATATGGAGGTCAAAGTTGAACTGTGGGGTCCTTGGTGCTCTTGAAGCATGGTTGTTTGGTTGCAGACATGTTATTACCTGAATAGGTAACATCATCAGTACTATTGAGTGTGGGATTTGTTTCCTTTTTAGTGAAGATTTGCCTACATGTAGATTTCTCCCATTTGTGGACTTTCTGAGCTTTTGATGCCCACAATTATGGTATTATTATATACTTATAGTATACTGTAGTATAATATATTATATATTATAGTAACTATAGGAATTAAGTAACATCACTATTGCTAATGAGTATGAGGTTTGCTCATATATACAATAGCGTTCTCTGCCAGTGTGGTTCCTTGATTAGGGTATTGTTTTATGTTTGATTGTCTGGTGTTAATCCCTGCTTATCTGGGCACAGAAAGATAATCTATAAATCAACTCTGTAGAGTGTATCTGAAGGCGAGAAGAAATATATTTTAAATAAAAATGTTAGAGAGTGAAAGGTTTTCTTTTCTTTGCAGGACTGGGAATTTCCACATTTTATGGGTGATGTTGATGTGAATCTTCCAGGCTTGCCTGCTGCACATTTTCAGTTCAGACTCCCTTATTTTAAAACTATTTTAAAGGAGGAGTATCACATACACATTACAGGTATGTAACATTCTTTGAACATGTTATTCAAAACAGAATTGGAGAATTCCAAAGGGCTACATTTATCTTTGATTTCCATAATCGGGAAAGAAAATAAAAATATTTTTCTTGGGAAGAACATAACATTAGTATATACCGAAATCTGTGTAGATTAAAATACTCTCATAAATATGATTTCTTAAAAGAGCAATGAGGTTTTCAGGAAAAAGAGATGCTTCATTCATTCATGTGATTATTCACCTAAAATTTGAAAAGGTACAGTCCATAACACTTGTCCTATACAATTTGCCCTTGTAGCAAAATTCTTTCAGAAGATCTAACCAGGGGTGGGATTCTACTGGTTCGGGCTGGTTCTATAGAACCAGTTGTTATGATTCTGTGCAGTTCAGAGAACCGGCAAATTGTGCCCCTGGCTGGCCCTGCCCCTCTCCACCTGCCCCTCCCCTCCCTGCCTAGTCAGTCTTTATGGCACATGCGTGACATCGTGCACATGCCCGAGATTGCCTTAAGGTATTTCTTTTGCCCCCTCCCAACGATCAGCTGTTCCAATGATCAGCTGTTCCGGGATCCCCCTTGCTGTCTTACTGCTTCGCTTCCCTGAGGCCAGGAGGCAAAAAGGGGTGTGTGGGGGTGGGTGCTGCGCACGCCCCCTGCATTCCATTTTCTGCCTTCCTGGGCCCCAGGGAAGCCTTCTGGGAGCAAAAACACCTCCCCAGAAGTCTTCCCTGAAGCCCAGGAGGCCCCAAAACAGAGCACAGGTGGGTGCTGCCCCTGTGCTCCATTTTTTGCCTTCCTGGGCCCCAGGGAAGCCTTCTGGGAGCAAAAATGCCCCCCCCAGGAAGTTTCCCTGAGGCCCAGGAGGCAAAAAACAGGGGGGGGGTTGCTGCCAAAAAAAGCACACCCATGTAGCCACATGACTATGCCCACCTAGCCATGCCCACCTAGCCACACCCACAGAACAAGTTGTTAAAAAATTTGAATCCCACCCCTGGATCTAACCAATGTGAATCACAGGTTATATCCTTGCACATTAATTTAGCATCCATATAACTTTTAGCTGTCATTTCCTCCTAATCCTCCCTTTGCCATGGGCTCAGAAAGTCTGGCTGCCATTCTCCCCCATTCTTTAACTGTAAGAAGCACGGAATAGCAGATGATTTCCAGAAGAATGAAAAATAGACTTGCCTCTTAACCATAAGACTAAATGTTAAAAGAAATCCAAATTTCCATTAGGTTTGAGTATGCATTAAAAATAGCATGTTATGATATAGAATTGTACAAATGCAATTAACGTGCTTGTTTTTGTTAGTAAATGGCATTCATAAGAAAACTTAACCTTGGGACTATCAGTGTTAAATAGAGAAGGGGAATTATGTTCTTACATGTATTAATGACAACTTTTTTTAAGAGGAGATTTTTGTCTACTATTTGACAAGTCTAGATCCATTATAGAAAAGAATACGAAAAATGAATGAAAATCCTTCAATTTCAGTTTTATAATGTATTTACTCATTAAAGGGTTTCTTCTAACTGACTGATACAACTGCATTGTTTTTGCTTTAGTAAATTAAAAATGAATACTATGATCTGAAAAAATTGAGTAGAAAGGGCTATGTTGTCAGATTAATAAACAATTAAAAAAGTATTAGAAATCATAAAGCAATAGGAAAATTACCTTCACTTTAATTCTTGCTATCTTTTCGATGGAAACTGTCAAAATGATAAACTTGAAAGAATCTCCATTGAAAATAAAATAAAGCTTAGAAGATTATATATTTTTAAAAGTACTTATAAAATGGAAATACATTATATATCCAACAGCCTTTGGCAGATATGAATCTAGAGGGGAATACTGAAATTTTAAAATAATTAAATTGTTAACTCCAAAATATAGTCAGCAGGAAGAGAGAACTCTTCAATACTGTACATTTCAATGAAGAGGTACACACACACACACACACACAAAAAAAAAAAAAACCCGGTGGAGTGAAGAAATGAAACTAAGTCTGAAAATGAAGTATTGTTTTTAAATGTATATCTTTACATTGCAATCTAGAAGATAAGAACAATGCTTTCAATCATGCTTGACAAGTGTCCATTTGAACATCTTCCATGTATTCTGGGAAGAACAGTACAAAAAGAACAATTTCACATTTCCCACATGAACATCTTTGATCTCAGAATCATACTGTTGTGCATAGTATCCCTTCACATAAAGGAAAACCAGGAAAAAGCAGAATTCTCTTTCCTCTAGAGTATACTTGCTCAGAGCATCTTCAATCATCCCCATCTTCAAAAAGGGAGACCCCAGCCTAGTTGAAAATTACAGACCAATCTGACTTCCGGTTTGAGCTTCTTCAGTGACAGACCGAAACCTCGTCTCTGCGAGGCTTCAATCCGTGCGCGCCGCTGGAGCGCCCCGAGCCAGCTGGTTTCGGGGCTAAGCCACCCCATAGAGGTGGTGAAGAGGGGGGAGACTACCAGCAGGGTTGAGGAGAGCCTCATCTCTCCTCCACAGCTGGCCATTACTCCGTTTCCTGAAGAACTCGACCAGAAAAGAATGTGCAGGAGGAAGATAAGAAGTGAAAATTTTGGTTGACCGGGTCAAACAGCAAAAGCAACAAATAAGGTACCCTGGAATTGAAACTGTTAAAAAACAATAACATTGTTCCCTAAGAAGATTTTTAAGCTGCGAAGGAGAGAGGAAAGGGAAAAGATTTGGTTTTCTCCTTTTCCTATACTGACAGCTAAGAGACTTAAGCAAGAAATTGGAAAAAAATCCACTTTGACATCAATAGGCATTTAATGCTGAAAATAAAAAGTCAAAGGGATAATAAAGATTTCTGGATAATTAAGAGCTTTTGAAAACAGGAAAGGAGAGAAAAAGAATAAAAGGGTAGGATCTGGAAGGGAGGAGACTGCCTGGAATTAAAAAAGAACTTACAGCAAAATCTCAGCAAGACTTCCAAAAGATACATTCTAACTGAAATATCGCAACAAAAACCCCAGGAAGAGAAAGTCGAAAAAGAAATAAGAAGATATAACTCGGGACTATCTGGATTACTTGATGATTTCTGGATTCTTGGTTATTGTTTTGAATGACTAAAATCAATCGGGTGGCTGTTTAAAACTGTTTAAAATGGCTCCACTTTTAGAAGAACTGAAAATGGAACTTAAAAAGTACAAAGAAGATGCACAAGAAGGGAGAGGTTCTTTTGGCTTCATATTTCAGTTTTTAGAAATGGAGATTTGGAATTATGAGAAACAACAAGAAATGCCTGCAGAACAAGAAGATTGCGACAAAGAAGAAGCCACCTTTAATGAACAAGTAATCTTAGATGGGGGGAAAAAGGAAAGGGGGGAAAGAGAATGGAAAGTTTAAGATTGGGAAAAACAACTCCCCCCCCAAAAAAATAGAGTGAAAAATAAGCATAAAATCAGAAAGCAACAGAAGAGGGAAATGCAGAAGAGAGAATTAGAACTAGAGTGACAAGGGGGTAAAAGGGGGAGGGAGAAGATGAGAGGGAAGAAAGAAAGGAAAAGAAGTTATAAAGGACAGAAGCAAAATATAGAGAAACAGGGCCTATTTAGAGATAATGGGTGAAAACTTAGTGGAAAAAGGGATTCTGCAAAGGTACATAAGATAGTATGGTTATATTAGAAGAAGAAATAATTTTAGAAAATATGGAACAATGTATGATTAAAATGTCTGATAAAATAGCTATCGTAATTCAGTGGAATGCTTGTCAATAAATAAATGTAACAAAAGGTATATTTAATGATTTATAAAACATATGTGAAGAAAAATAAGGGAAAAATTAATTATGGATATTATATGTGTTTTTAAGGAAGTATGATATTTAATTGAAAAGAAATGTTAAAGATGTTAAGATTTTAATGATTATTAATGATAGAACTGAACTGGAATGGAATGAGGGTTTATAATTACATATATTTACAATCTTTTTTTTTTTTTAAAGAATATAGTGTGCATTATAAGAATGTACCAAGCAGAATTCGACTGGAAGTTATGTATTATGTATTATATTGAAGGTCATAAACTTAAGGTATATATTGAAGTTTAAATAAGAGTTGAATGGATGTAATTAAAAGATATAAAGGTGTCATACTCCAATTAGTAACTACAAGAGAAAATTTGTTTAATGAGAAAAGATAATATGAAATTGAAACAAAACAGACAAAAGTATAAATATAATGATTTGAATTGAGATGAGATAATCAAAATAAAATTGAGAAAATTAAAATAGGGGAAAAACTATATAGAAAATGTAAAATAGTATAAGACATGGAATAGAATACAAAAAGGAGCATGAAATTGAGTTTTGTGTCTGTATAAAGAAATTCAACCCGGGACCATGCTATTTTCAAAAAAGATGTTTTACCTGTATTTTGTGTGTGAAAACCCAAATAAAACTTTATTGAAAAAAAAAAAGAAAATTACAGACCAATCTCTTTATGCTGCGTCACCTGTAAAGTCATGGAATTAATTATTAACCAATCCATTATCCTGCACTTAGAGACAAACAACCTACTCTCTAATAAACAATTTGGTTTCAGAAAAAAACTATCCTGTAATCTGCAACTCTTACACTGCAAAAACATATGGACTACACAAGTCGATCAGGGCAAAGCAATAGACGCAATCTACATAGACTTCTGTAAAGCCTTTGATTCAGTGGTACACGACAAACTACTCCTAAAACTAAAATCTTACGGTATCTCTGGACACCTGCATAACTGGATAGAAGCATTCCTTTCAAACAGACAACAAATGGTCAAAATTGGGAGCGTTCTATCAAATTCTGTACATGTCAACAGTGGTGTCCCCCAAGGCAGAACTCTCTTCATACTCTACATAAATGACCTCTGTGATCATATTAAGAGCAACTGTGTTCTCTTTGCTGATGATGTAAAGCTATTCAACACCACAGGCAATACTACTACCTCCAAAAAGACCTCAACTATGTATCAGAATGGTC